ATCAAAACCCAAGTTTGCACGTGTGATCAGACACGTCTATTCGTCTTTGTCAGGACTGGCCTGACCCTCGCACCAGCGCATCAGATCCCGCCACGGTCGACCCAATAGAACATTGGAGCAGCCGAGCAGAACCAGACCGCTGTAACTCCGCGGCCCAGAACGGACCACATGGCCGCTGAGGGACAGAACCAGCAGCGCTCAGCGAATGGATAAACACGTTCATCACGCCACACGTGCGCTTGGTGAAAGGACCTGTGGGTAAACGGACACCGACCTTCAGCAGTAACGGCCATTGAGACGTGTCCAAGCGTGCGACCTTAGACTCAGGTTTGATGAGGAAGTCTCCGCTTTCTTGAATCTCCTGATGGCAACAATAAAAAAATTTTTTTTAAAAGTATTAGGAAGCGGATTTAGAAAATGACCAACACATAGATTGAAATCAAGAGGTTGTCACAAAACCAAAATTCAGAACTACAATAGTCATCAATTCTTGACACCAAAACAAAAGCTTTAATTTTTTTAACACAAGTCTTAGAAACACGTAACTAAGATCGGTCTATTCAGTGGTCAAATACAGGGTTTCTGCAGGTTTTAGGATAAAACTTTTCAAAAATGTGTCACACTGCAAAATGGGATGTTCTTTCTCAGCATTTCTGTCTTGTTGAGCAGTGATAATGTCTCAAGGTTCTCAAATCAAGATACATTTACTTTAAAATAACACAATGACGTAAATCTTGTTTTCTGTTAACCCCTTAACTGTCACACCATTTTTTTTAAATAGGCATGAAAATGCACTATCCGAACTTAAATTGTTGTAATTTATGAACACTTTGGAATACAGACCTAAGGTTTGTCTCTTTTTAAAGAAGACAATTAGCCGATTATGGCAAAAGTGGAATTCTTTCAAAAAATTAAAGTATCGAAGTTATAGAACTTTAAATTTATTGTAAAGAAAATACATTGTACTGATTTTATTATATTTTGTATATAATAAATATTTTACATAACAGGTTTCACTCTAAAATTGCTATAAAATTTAAGCCTTCTAAATAAGTTGACTAAATAAATTTGAAGTTGATCTGAAAAAAAAAAAAAGGAGGTTCCTGTGAGATTTTATTTAGGGCGTTATACCACAAACAGCCACCGGGTGCCATCCAAACTCCATCGAATTTTTATTAATGCATTTTTCTGTAACATGTTGAAATTTCTCTGCCAATATTGCTTCCATCACATAATATGGAGTCCTGAGACTCAGACCTTTCCAATGATATGTTTTTTGTCAAGATTATAAAAAGTTTTGATTGTAAAAGACCGTCATGCATTTTGTAATATGACACTTGACACCGCCCGCTAAAGGGGAGGAGACCGCCAAAACATTTTAAAGTACCATTTCCATGGTTTTTCAAAATGGTTTTCACAGGATGAATCTTGGGCTTCTTAGCTTTCAAACGATATATAATTTATGATGACTAAAACATTTGATAGAGAAAAAGGACAAAAAACAAAACAAAACAAAAAAGAGCGCCAAGCGTCCCACAGGTGGGACGGCGACAGTTAAGGTTAAACTAATCCGAATTAAGTGAATTTATTTTTTAAAAATCTGCAAACGGGCTCAGAAAAATCAACTACATTTAAAAGGGAAAAGTTTTATCGACCGATATTTGTTCATGTTTTAAGTATAAATTCACACTTTGTCCTGCGTCTCGAAACAGGATTTCATATTTTCATTTTGCATTAAGGAAACCAAGTACCTTAAGATCTATTTATTTGAATTAAAATCAAGACAAAAATATTGAGGAAGCATTTTTTCCAACATTTAATGCCATGACTTTACGAATTTATGACTCCATTGAAACTGCATTTGTAACCTTCAATCCGTTGAGCACCATTTAAGTCCACTATATGGAGAGAAATATTGGAATGTTTTCCTCAAACTTAATTGCTTTGCGACTGAAGAAAGAAAGACATGAATATCTTGGATGAGACGGGGGAGAATAACTTGTCAGGAAATGTTTATTCTGGAAGTGGAGTATTCCTTTAATACCTGCACAAACCCTGCAAATATTTCAGAAAAACTGCAAGCAAACCAAATGACTTGATCTTGAAAAATTGATTTCATTTCTCCTCGTTGCATACCTAGTTATCACATTATCGAAATAACATTTGTGTCAGCAGAAATTTATACTGATGATATATCTATATTTTTAGCTTCCGGCTTCGCTACCGTTCGGACGTTCTTACTTACTGCTCTGCGCTTTGCTCCCTATTTCTGTACTTTTCTTTGATATTATTTTTTTTTTCTTTTTTTTTATGTAAAGCACTTTGAATTACCATTGTGTATGAAATGTGCTATACAAATAAACTTGCCTTGCCTTGCCTATACATGCAAGTTATAGGCTATGTTATCTACTATTGTTAAACGGACAAATTACATAAAAATTAATAAACGTGCATGCATATTAAAAAAAAAGCATTACCCCAATTTCTCCTTCTGAGAACGACTTCGTCTTTTTCTTCTTCTTAGCTGATCCAACTGAGGACAAAATAAATCACCGTCACAAATCATTTTATCATGAATATTCATTTAGGGGAAAGCATGGCCGAGTTTAACTGCACACAAAGCTTTGGCTGTAATTAGTTAGCAGTAGCTGCGGAACCACGTGGCGTGTGCGGCCAGCACGTGGCGTCTGACTTAACGTTACTGATCTACCAAAAGAGTTTAACGTTGCATTTTTAACGTTAAATTACATTAAACCACCGTCTCTACAGATCACATTCCGCTACGTTACAGTTACGAGAAGCAAAGTAAAACAGGATCACTTATAAGTATTAAGGGACAGTGATTTTGGGTGTTCAGAAATTGATCATTTAAACCAGCCGCTAAATTCTGTTCCCTTATTGCGTTGTTATTTATTAAGACTATTTATTAATTTTTTACATTTATTTTTTTTATCTTTTATTTTTTTTAAAGGACAAGATATCAGGCGTCCACGCAAGCAGAAATAAATTTACTTTCCATAATACTAGCCAACTAATAACAGGTTATTTGCGTAGAGGAAACATGCTTAGATTTTCTACTACTGCTAATAGTAATAATATTAATTTCAGTAAAACACATTTCTAAAATTAGATGCATAAGCATAAATCTAGCATTTCTAAATGCACCCGTGAAGTTGAGAACTCATCTTTTGATCGATTTACTTTTACACTTCTTAAGCGCATCATACTTGTGAGCAAAAACGCAAAGTAAAATATTTTAAGTAGAATTTTAAGCAACATCACAGAAATCGTGTAAAACATGATCTTACTTTCTGTGTCCGCCATCTTCAGAGGACGCAGCACGTGTGACTGAACGCGCGTGCGTATTTCTCTGCAGAGCTCTCACATCTCGGGATATGAAGCATCGCGATATCATAACGCGTTATCAACGAGAAATGTAGAGGCTCCTCCCCAGGGCATCTCCCTTTGCTCTGCCTTTTCACTTCAAAATAAAAACATTTTTACTCCACAAATCAAAAACATAAACGTGTCCACAAATCCCTCATTAACAAATGCACACAAAAACGTTCATATTCAACATAATACAATGTCACAGATCACTATTGTTTTACATAATCTGATTACATGCAATCGGTTACTATACCCAGCGCTGGTTATAAAATGTGTCAATGCATTCAAAAATTATGTTTGCATTGATTCGCTGTATTCATTTATCAAAAGACTTGATCAAAAACAACTTAAAAATGACGAATTTCACAAGCAATTTTTGATTCAGGTAAACTAGAGTAGCACACAAGCTAGAAAAGATGTTCTGGAAGTTGGGAAATAATATGAAAAAAAATCAATAACTAAATGAAAACATATCTTGGTTAAACCTACACCTTTACATTTTAAAATGTGAATTGCATTGACTTTTCCACGTCCTCCTGCACTCGTGTATACTTTGTATTTATTGTGTGCATTTTATTTTTATGTACATTGTGTGTAGTGTTCACAAACAGTAAGTTCTTTGTGTAAACTAAAATTAATATTATCAAAAAGTGGTAAGACTAAAGTCAACAAGACAAAAAATGCAAGGAGATGAATTTATTTTCTAGAGGTATCATTGGTATTTTTGTGCGTACATTCATTTAAGATCATTTTATATAGGATACAGGATGTTAAAATGCTACAGATTAAAAATAAAAAAACGCTCGCAAAGATTAATGCAATACAGCATATACATTTAAACTTTGTGAGATCTTTGCCATTATCTCAACCATGCATTCCCATATCACTGTTAAGGCACAAACCCTTAGAAATACCCAGCACTGACAACCATTTAAAGGCACAGTATCAGTTTAATTCGAGACAATAGTTATTGTGAACAATAAACGGACACAAAAACAACAACTTTTTGCCTTTGTCACGCATGATCTTCACAACATGCATGTGTCACACAAACTGGACCAATGCCAACATTTGTAGTTAGAAAGTATATAATTCTTTATTTCTTTCTGAAACAATGATAATTTCACTGGAGAGGACTTTTGTTTGTCAGCTAGGGTCATGTGGATTACTTTGAATCGGTCTAGATACAGATTGAAAATGGTCTACAATGAGCACCATTCACTTGCATCGGATGATGAAAAATCCTGTCATGTTTTACTCTAAAACTTTCATTTCTCTTCAGCTGAAGTAAGAAAGACCAATACACCATGGATTGCCTGGGGGTGAGTAAATACTGAACTATATATATGAACTATTTCCACGTTTCAAACATCATTCTGCGAAGCAAAGGATCTTCTGATTTAATCTTTTAGTCGGTCTGTGTGAACAAAACCTTAAAATCAGACATTATAGCATAACCCTTTTTGAAAGAAGTGCCTTTTCACCTCATATTCTCTTGAGTTAATGCATGTCCTGACCATTTCTACAAAAATATATCATTTAAATTAAACTATTACTACCATCTGTTTTTCTGTGGAAAGAAATCGTTATGGATCAAAAGATGCATCCTCTACAAGCAACTCATTTAATTAAGATCATAAAATCATTCAAACAAAGAGTTGAGTTGATAAGTAATACTGTTGTGATCCTCTGCTGTCCTAACGCTTGAGAAACCAAGGTGTTTTTGGTAAATGATGGCTGGGTAGTTTAGCATTAGGCGCTCAGGCCTGGAGCCCCAGAGAGCGAGCCGTGTTCAGCACATCGTCACGCGTCAGATAACATCCGCACAGCTGCCGCAGGCCGGTGAACGACTCTCTGCCATGCAGAACGCGCCAGTTATCGATGAACAGGACCTTGGAGAAAACAACAGTAGGTATGTTTACATGCACTGATTTTCAGCAACATGAAAAAATCCAATCTGATTCTGAGAGTTCGGTTTAGATGCAGCATATACTATCCAATCTGATTCACATACATGTGCATTACATCTATTCTGAACAAAATTTCAGTCACTGCATTCAGAAATGCAGAAAGCCATTGTGAGAAAGACACGGGAGCCACCATTTTTGCTTTGATGACATTAGGGCTGGGCGATATAGCTAAACAATTTATCAACGATATAATTTATAATATCGTTCGGTATCGATAATTATTGACATTTTTCATAACCTTTTTTAAAACAGAGCAATAGAAAAAAAATTTTTAATTTAACCACTGTATTTATAATTAACACAATTTATTGAGACAAAACTAATATTTTTTGTTTTAACAATCAAACACAATAAAAATTAAACAAATATCTAATTTCTAATGTTTTATATGAAGATTAAATACGTCTTTATTGTATAGGTCTAATTGTCTCCCGAGGCCACAGCAGGACGCAATGAGCAAAATAATGCAGTGCAATTAAATTGTCAACGCAAGGAAGTAACTCCATAAAAGCGTGCATTACGTCTAAATTAACTCATAAAAATCAAATATAATTTCGTAAATTGCATAAACAATTATGAACAAAACCGCATCATGTATTTATGCATTGCTTAATCTAAAGAGCCGAAGCGCCGATCACACAGACTGCATTTAAAAACATATGAGACGCAGTGAAAAGGAATAAACCTCCACAAATTCGTGACGTGTTTGCTAAAAGTTTAAACTGTTTTAACTTTGCATGGCTCTCTAGACATCTCGTGTGAGACGTGAGAGCAGCAGTCATATTTGTCCATCTAAAAAATGCGCTGAATATGCGTTCTGTGTGAATGGCTTGGTTTCGGTTTTAACCTAATCAAGATCTTCTCCGCATTGAGCTAATATACTTCTCTAATATTTTGAATGAATAAGTGCCTATATCATGCACTATATCAAACAATTTTTCTATCGATATCGAAGGTGTACCGTCGATAAATATCGATACCGTTTTATCGCCCAGGCCTAGATGACATATCATTAAAAAAAAACTAAACATTAAGGCTTTTTTTTTTGCAAATATGTGACCCTGGACCACAAAACCAGTCACAAGAGTCAATTTTTTTGAAACTGAGATTAATCCATCTAAAAGCTGAATAAATAAGCTTTTCATTGATGTATGGTTTGTTAGGATAGAACAATATTTGGCCGAGATACAACTAGTTGAAAATCTGGAATCTGAGGGTGCAAAAAAATCTAAATATTGAGAAAATCATCTTTAAAGTTGTCCAAATGAAGTCCTTAGCAATGCATATTACTAATCAAAAATTAAGTTTTAATATATTTACAGTAGGAAATTTACAAAATATCTCTCGTGGGCTAGACTAACAAAACATTAAAATACAACAACGTCACTTACATCACCGCATCTCGCGCGCCACTGATGATGCTCCCTGACGCACACCTAACATTCAAATGCAAATGTTTATTTTAAATTAGACTAATATTCATTATTTATTCACAATCTCCTCATCACAGGCGGGCACAGCACTCATTTCAGCATGTGTTCGTGTTTGTGTGTGCTGTCTGCGTCACTCATAGTACGTGCCTATATCATGCACTATATCAAAAAATTTTTTTATCGATAACCAAGGTGTAACCTCGA